ACGAAAGATTCAGAATTTAGGGTTAAACTTGTAGGTTTCAAAGAATTGATGATGTGTTATCTGAGTGAAAAGAAATTGACCGTTTTGCTTCTAAAAACCTTATTATTTCCATTCCCATAAGTTTAGAGTATTTTTCCTGATATACATGTTTTAGTTTCAGAAGTGGTTTCAAAATTTATTCTTGAAGAAAAATTCTGTTTCTTTTATTTTCAATTGTTTGGGCCCTAATTGTTTTTCTTTAATTCTTTCTTTAAATGATTGATCTTTCTGCATGATGAGACTGCATCCTTATCTTAAGGGAAGGGTGATTTATCTTGCTATGAAAATGCAAGAGTTAGGGATCATAAATCATGATAAAGAAGTATTTGTTGTCAAAGAAGCATTAGCTGTTACGGCCTTGTATATCGTGTGCATTGAGGATCGTAAACCGAGAATATTGCATGAGCTTTCTTTAGGTACCAAAAAAATCTGGGTTTTTTATACCCAAAAAACTAGGGACTGACAAAAAAAAGATTCAAAATTTAGAGTTAATATTACCATTTTTAAAGTATCGATGGGTTATGAGAAAGTGGGTGTAAGAAAATTTAACCGTAGATAGGAAAAATCCTTTTTTTTAGCCCCCATGATTTCACTTCTGTTAAAATTTGAGCTTTTTTGTTCCACTAGTTGAGATGCACGTGCAATGCACGTGGTTGAATATCATGAGTTGAGATGCACGTGCAATGCATGTGGTTGAATATCGTGATTATTTAAATTGATAAAAATAAAAAAATAAAGTTTTTTTGTGGGATTGATCAACAACTCAATAATCTCTCTCTCAAATGAAATATTGTCATTGTTTCCTTCAATCTAGACTGTGGCTACGTGATCTACTATTTATAAGTTATAAACACATTAATTTAGTACAACGTATTTATTTATTAATATCATGAAGTCTTCAAAAGATGGGTGATCATTCAATTCGCAAAAGAATTTTGCATATAAATTTACTTGTAATATGTCTATTAAACTTTTAGTTGTGATTTGACTCATATTCATGATAACTTTTAGTTGATGTTTCGCTCATATTTATATTATCTAATATTCTCATTAATTTTATAGCTCATTCTCTGTATCATAGAAGTAAATTTAAAAGCATGAAGAATTATTTTCTTACGAAATTAGAACAGGAAGATTATGATATATTTCGCCAAGTATTCTAAATATAAAAATTTCTCTTTTCTTTGATGCAAGGTCCCTATCAAATTTTACTCCAAACGGTGTGAACGAAAAATGCTATTATAACTCACTTGCTTAGGACAATTGTATTGTATATAGAATACACAACTCATCTAGAATATTCATATCTCCTAAGTGGATTTTGCTGTTGTGAGAGCAACATGTTAGAGACTCGTATTCAAACTTTTTGGTTCTATAAAAGACACAAGAATTTAGAGTGCGTAGCTTATATATCGTAAAAAACATATCGATTCATGAAGAATTTTTTCTGATAATAATATTATTACAATGATATTACTATTCAATATTAAATTAATTTTATTATATAAGATTATAAGACTATTTTTAATAAATTATAAAGTATATATATGGAAACCTCGATGCTTATAGTCAGTAGTTGGGCTCTATAAAATAGGTTAACTTTTACATTGTAGTTTGTTATTTGTAGTATTGTTGGTAATGTTATTACCTTTCTTCTTTATCTTATTATTCATATTTTTATGATGTAAGTTCTCTTTTGCTAATCATTCAATTGGCTATATTTAATTTTTATAATATCAGAGGTTAGAATATTCTCTTCTATTTAAAAAGTGTTGACATGATTATCTTAAAAAATATATACTCATAGTAACAATAGTATATACTTCATTGTAACTCAAAGATTAGCTTGAAGTCATTTAGAGTGAGGTCCTTTCTATGCTAGAATGATGATATAATGATTACACGGTCTAAAAGTCAAAGAAGAAATTTCTACAAAGGAAAAATAATTTACTATGTCAAATTAAGAACTAATTTATAAAATATACATGGACAATGCACATAGCTATAGCAAGTAAGGTATATATTTTTATAAAATTTTTATAGTGAGTGACCAACTATAATCATCCTAATTTCAGCATAAATAATTATTATTTTAGTTACTAATTTAATACGTGTAACTATAGAATAAATCTCCAGTAAAAAATAGAAATTGAGATTATATTATGCTGTAGGTAAATAAATAAATGTTATTAGAGCTCATCTTTATATTGAATTAAAAGTAATATTTTAAACTATTAAGCACCAAATGTTAGTTCATGTGAGAAAGTAAAGTAATCTATGGTTTATATACGTATATAGTCAATCAATCAAACATATTAAAATTATAATGGCCACAGTCAAAATTATATAGTGGGTTCACATTAAATATAATTTGTAAAAAATAATACATTAAAGTCAAAATCTTTTTAACCACTACATAGATTATCTGAAATTTTTTGCATATATAAACTATATTGCTTAGGAAGAGTGATGTGCACACTTAACTATGATCTAATAATCTTAAGAATGACTCATTCTTCAATATCATCATTAATTGATGTA